TATGCCCCGGTTGTTTCGGGGCGACCTCTCCCTCTCTTTTCTCTAATGATGGGGATTCCATCTTCATCCTCCTGGCTTCCGCTTTCGTATTGAGGTTCCTCCGTTGATTGCAGAAGTTCTGCAGCCTGTGGTATCCCTCCTTGCTTCTCTATCTCCGCGTCGATCTTTCTATTAATCGCGCGGACAAAGGGCACTTCCGCCCTCTCTGTGCTTACGCTGCCTTGATCCCATTCTAGGTCGAGGCTGCTGCACTCCGAGGGCATCTCCTTTCCCGTTTTCCTTATTCTAGAGGGGCTTCTTGATCTGCCCGCCGTCGTTCCTGAGGCTGGTGACACGCCTGTTCTCCCTCTTGTCCTCGCCCCTATGCAAGATTCCTCAGATGAGGTCAGGCTCAGCTGCGAGTCGCATCTCGTGACCCTTATAGAGAGCTCTCTTTTTGATGCAGCAGCAGCGATTGCAGCATTAGAGATCGCTCTCGCCATCGTGCAGGGTCCTGGTCTACTGTGACTTCCTCCAGGGTAGCCACAATCCCGGCCCGCGTAATCCGCCCCTCCATGTGAGAGTTTGTATTCTCACCTTCATTTTGATTTTTGTTTGATGTGTTATATTCTTCCATTTCTGTGAATCCCACGTTCCCGCTGCGGCTCCGTCCCCCAGGGTATACCCCCACCGGCCAAGGGTGCCCCGAAACATGACCGGCCACACCCCAAGGCCGGGCCCCAAGTTCCCCCGGGGAGGAGACATATGTCTTAGGCCGGGGGGATACCGCACCCCGGCCAGACTCCGAGCCCCTTACACACCCGTGTGGGATTTGACGCCCACACGGGCTTTCAGGGGTCCCGCGCCTCCGACAACGCGGGTACCGCAGCGGGCGGCGCCACCCGGGGGGCCCCACGAACGCTTTGGGCAGGGTCGCCGCTCCCCGGCCCTGCCCTACACACCGTGGCGACCAGCATAGTGTGTCCACCCTCGTCGAAGACTTTCGACGAGGGGTGGGCGCCTCTCCGGTCGGCCGGTTCGGAAGAGGAAACGGTCCCGACCGACCGGAGATATCCACTCTCGCCCCAGGCCCCGCCTCGGAAACGTCCGAGCGGCCCTGGGGCAGGGCGGCCGCGGCACCCTCCGGGCTATGCCCCTCGGGTAACCCCTCCGGCTATGCCCCTTGGGTAACCGCGGCGCGCCTTCGCCGCCATCCTCGGCCCGGATTCGGAAACGTCCGAGCGGCCCGAGAATGGCAGGCCACAGGGACACTGGGACGAGAGCAAGCTCTCCGACCAGCACCCTGTGACCTCCCTCTCGCCGTCGAGCCCCGCCTCGGAATATGTCCGAGCGGCCTCGACGGCCGACCCGCGTGGTCCCCTCCGGGCAGTGCCCCTTGGGAAAACCCTCCGGGCTACGCCCCTTGGGTGACCACGCGTGGCCGTCTCCGCCGACCCAGCCCCGCCTCGGAAACGTCCGAGCGGCCTGGGTGCGGCCTACCCCAGGGACGCTGGGACGGGGACCCAGGCTACCCAGCCTGGAGACCCCCAACCAGCACCCTGAGGCACCTCCCTGTCCTCGGGAACCGCTCCGCGAGCGGGCCCCGAGGACCGACCAGCACAGCCCCCTCCGGGCGAAGCCCCTCGGGACAACCCTCCGGGCAAAGCCCCTCGGGTAACTGTGCCAGCCCCTCCGCCGGCGCGACCCTCTCCGGGCAAAGCCCCTCGGGAAACCCTCCGGGCAAAGCCCTTCGGGTGATCGCGCGCGGCACCTCCGATGCGGCCCCCGCCGATCCCACCCCCCCAGGTGTGACCCCGAAACAGGCCCCCCCCTTGACGGAGGGTGAGGGAAAAAAAACCCCGGGCGGCGGAAGCCGCCTACCCGACCGACATGCCGGGCCACAGAGCATGGTGGGAAGGGAAGCCCGTGCAGTCCCTTCACCTAACGGTGCCACGGGGGCCGGGCGCCGGGTTTCCGGTTTCCATCCCTTACCACATACGAGCCGAAGCTCTAACGGGGAGGTGGGCCCCGTCTCCCGGGATGTGGAAATCTTCCACACCCCGAGGAGAGCCCCCAGAAACGGAGGGCATTCCCGAGACCGGGGGCAGTGTACCTCGGAAGGTACTATCCGCTCTTGGCACCCCTCGCAAGACTATCCTCTTGCGAAGGGTGAGCCCTCTCACCACGACAAGGTGGAGGGTTGTTTTTCAGCCCTGGCATATTCCGAACACCTATCTTAGTTCTACCCTATTTCTTCTCTTTTCCCTTTCTCTCCTGTTTCCTTTCTCCTTCCTGTTTTTATACTCTCTCTTTCTCTATTTCCTTATCCTTTCCTTCTTTTTTCTTTCTCCTCTTCTAGCCCTTTTTTCCTCCATTCCTGTCTTCACCCCTTCCTCCCGTCCTGTCACCCCCTTCGTCGGGACCTCCATTTTACTCTATACCTTCTTAAATTCTCCTTTCCAGTTTTTAAGCACCTCTTCTTCCTGTTCCCATCTCCACCAGGATTATGATTTCCTTCCGTAGCTTGTCCGTACCTTTCTTGGTTTTCTTTCTTTTTTCAATCTTTCTTTCTTTCCCTTCCATGTTAAGTCATCCTCTATCCTCACCCTCCTTCCTCTTAATATCTTCTTTCTTTCCATTACCTGTCTTTTTGGTTCTCTGCTTTCTAGTTTTACTACCACCTATTCTCCTTCCTTTCCCTCCTTTCCTTTCAATTTTCCTATCCATTGATCTCCGTTTTCGCTCCTTCTCTTTCATTATTTTCTCCACTCTTTTTATTATACTTCCTTTTCTTCGTAAATGCTTTACAACTATGGTATTTCTTCTTTCTTAGGACAAACTTTCCATCTCTGACGCTTTCCTATGGAATTTCATCGGCCCTCATTATTGTTCATTTATTTCCTTACTCCCTCCTTGACTCCCCTTTCTTTCTCTTTCCTCTATTTTTGCTTCCAAATCTATAACTTTTTTGAAAACTTTTTTATGTCTTCTTTCTCTTTCCATTCCATCTCTTTTCTCAAAAATCTCGGTGATTTCCAAGAAGAACGATCCATCAAGATCTCAGATTTCGATCCAGGAAGGTGGAATGTAAACTCCTGGCTTATTACTGGACGAAAAGACTATACTCAGAGAAAAGCGAAAAACTGCCTTTAGTCGGAACGTTTGAGAGCAAGATCCTCTCCGGTAAAGCTTCCTTCTTGCTGTTCTCGTTTTCTATGCTATCTTTAGTATCTTTTCGTACACCGACTAATTATCCTCTATAACTTTTTAATTTCAGCCTCTCTTTCTTCATTTCGATTTCCCCTTTCATATTATTATCTCCTTATATTAAACGGATTTAGATTCCCAATCCAAGGCTATCTCAGTTTTTCGGATACCACTTTTGTTTTTTTGTCCTATATTTTTTATGATTCCCTATTTTACTGTAACGGTTCACTTTCCCGACGCCGCGGATCGGCTCGCCGGTTCCAGGATTCGGGAGGAAGGGGAGATTCAGACTCGCTTATTCCTTATTAACAATGCTTTGGTTTATTCAAAACAAGTAAACAAAATTTGTTGGCATCCTAAATAGAGAAACTTATTGACTACTCGGTATAAACGAAATGTTTGTTGGCATAAAGCCCTAAATAGAGAAACTTATTGACTACTCGGTATAAACTGTTTGTTGGCATAAAGCCTAAATAGAGAAACTTATTGACTACTCGGTATAAACAAAATAAGGAGGCGTATAGCCTGTAGCGGTGTCCGGAAAAGATTTACAAATTACCCTATAACTTAGGATACGGTGTACGGAGGCGTATAGCCTATAGCAGGAAGAAACCGGACCGGGACGGCGTAACAACAAGAAACCGTTGCCTATAGCAGGAAGGACCGGAAACCGGGAAAATCAACGAGAAATTGCTTTATTCAGGAAGAAACAAGTAAACAAAAGGCATAAAACGAGAAACTTATTGTATACAAAGAGTTGGATAAATATAACAACGAGAAATTGTGGCGTGTAAGGAAAAAAAGAAAGTTGTAGCAGGAAGAGACCGGAAACCGGGAAACCCGGTATAAAGAAACGGTTCCCGGCGTATAGCAGGAAGAGACCGGAAACCGGGAAACCCGGCGTAACAACGAGAAACCCGTTGCCCGGCGTATAGCAGGAAGAGACCGGAAACCGGGAAACCCGGCGTAACAACGAGAAACCCGTTGCCCGATACTAAAGGTAGAGGCCGGAAACCGGGAAACCCGGCGTAACAACGAGAAGCCCGTTGCCTGGCTAGGAGGTCCGGAACAGGACTGGTGCCGGCTCATCCGTCGAGCCGGCTTATATACCCTGCCGGCGGTTCCCCCACTCTACATCGAGGCTGTGGTGGGGGTAACGCCGGCGTCGTAGTGGGGCGCCTCTGGGGGTTGTAGTGGGGCGCCCCTGGGGTAGGGTGACCCGTGTATCGCTTATGTTTTTGTGTTTAGGGGCGCCTTAGGCGCCATAGCCTCAAGTGGCGGGCGGGTGATCGGCCCGCGAGGCGTTAGTAACGGCCACGCCGTTACAATACGATTCACTAATTTTAAATAAATAAATATATATACATATATATTTGTACATAATAAGTCACATATACTGCACAAATGCATACTTATTATATGGTTTTTCACCCCATTAGTGAGCCACAGAATTCACCGCCCAAGTAAAATTTAAATTTAAACCATATCTGCACACGGACATGTGCCATGCATACCAGAAACTCTCATTCCATGCCAACCAAGGTACCAATATTGGTATGATAAAGCAACAGAGTACTACCAAATATGAATACCATCTAAAAAAAAAGTATGAATAAAAAAAATAATATCAATATATAAAGTCAAACGAACAATGCTTCATTTGGTTCCGTAAAAATAAGTTATGCCTGTCGTACTTTCTTTAAAAGACCACGAGGGGGTCTTGTTCTATATCACTCATGTCAATTGTAGCACCCTTGATAATGACGTCCGAATGTTTATGAACCATAAGTTATCCGATATGCGAGAATAAAAATCCTCTACGCGCATTATACGGATCCGCATCAGTGTCAGTGAATTTATGATGCGTTCTATGATCTCTAACCCACACAAAAATGTTATCCTAAAAATTATAGCTTAATAAAATTTGAATACCACAAAAACAGAAATAAAATGTAGAACTTTAAATAATAGCTAACAAAAGTTTACAATACACTTGAACGAGAAGAAAAACATTAACAATAAACTTACTTGGAGAGCAGCAGCATTGAGAATTACAAGAATGAGTCTCAGTGACCATTTCGCTTTATAAGACCGATGACACCATAATCTATGAGCGCCAGCAGTAATGCCAAAACCCAAAAGAACAGCAATAATATAAACTATAAATTACAAATAATTATTCGATAACATATATGTATTTTATTTTTATTATTATATTGAATATGTGCAATGTAGTTTAAAATCTTATGGAATAATAACAAATAAATAAAAAACATACACCAGATAATCGTCCACAGTTTGGCGTAAAAGGCAAACAGATATAATCCGTAAAGGATGGAAAGATAAATATAAGTGAAAATAATCACATTTTTCCAAACAATTTTCATTTCATAATTGACCTTATGTGATTCTTTTGTCAATATTTCGTCATTTACAGTCTCTTTAAATTTCATTACAAAATTTTTCATTATATTGAATGTCAAACTGTAAAAAATTGTGTTTAATAGTAAAAAGTGCAACTTCTATATAAATTTCGTAATAATAGTCTGCAACACATAATAATTCTTAACATTGTATAATGTTTTATCATATAATTTTTACTCGTTAGCATTATAATTCACGATTAAAGTTAATACAATACAATAATAAAGGAAGCAGCGGTCTGAATTTGTGATAAAAAGACAAAAAATTTTATATACGAGTTTTTTTTGCTTCTCGCGTCACGTCATAACAATATTTGCTTGTATAAAAGTTTCATAATTTATACGTACAAAATAAGATCGCTTCCTCCAAATAATTGCATAAAGGAATATTAGTGAACTTGCAGAAATAAGTTTAAAAGTCTAATAAAAAAGATCTCGATTGTGGAATATTTCATTTACATGTGTATGTGCGAAATGACATTTAGGAATAAAACAGAGCAGAAAAGTAATTGCGCGATGTCGCGATAGAGAAAACAATCGTGCAGTTAGACAAGGACAGATAGTCATATTATCTTCGTCTCTCTCATACATAAAATAATATAACGCAAAACGTCTGCCTCTTTGTCAACATAGTTTCCTTCAAGAAAGGCTGAATGAAAAGATTAGTATATTTCTTTATATCCATGCATATATGTATGTATGTATGTATATATGTATGCGTATGTATGCGTAGAAAATGTTTATAAAGAAATATATATATATATATATATATATATACATACCTATCGATTTATTTAGCTATCTGCCTATCTATCGAACTATCTATCGATCTACTTATCGATCAATCTATCTATCTATTTATCTATCTATTGATCTATCTGTCTCTCTGTGTTCCTGTTTCTATCTCTCTGGCTCTTCTCTCTTTTCTACATTGCATTCTCTTATACATGCATACGTATATATAATTTTTTAAAAATAATCTGCATTACATAAATAAAAATAATTAAATTTATAATCTAAAAATATAATAATTGTAAACAAAGAAGGGCTATAAGAGCTATTAAACATAATACAGTGTCAAATGTTATTAATAAAATTCATTTAAATTAAATAATAAATACATAAGAAATAAACATTTATGCGAACGTTTCGGCTGACATTTCAAGCCTTCTTCAGCGCAATGCAAATGATTTAATTATAAATTGAATTGTAATATTAAACATTAAATTTAAAGTGTAAGACAGGCAATAAGAGCCAATGGCGGAAGACAGTGCGTTATCCCAACGAAACTAAATTTTTTTGTTAGAATTAAATATCTATGCACAAGGCACCAAATTTTACTTGGTCACGGCCAAGATTTAAAATATGAAATAATCTCATTTTTGAAATTTAATTTCAATAATCCTTTAACCCCCCTACGGAAATAAATAAATAAAATGCAAGAGAAAATAATAGATCCGAAAGTCGCTGAATCGGGAATCGAACCCGATTATTTCATATTTTAAATCTTGGCCGTGACCAAGTAAAATTTGGTGCCTTGTGCATAGATATTTAATTCTAACAAAAAAATTTAGTTTTGTTGGGATAACGCACTGTCTGCCGCGATTGGCTCTTATTGCCTGTCTTACACTTTAAATTTATATTTATATTACAGAGCCGTGTTTAAACTCTTAACTTAAACATTAAAGACGGTAATTAACAATGTTAAAATAATAAATATATAAAGTCAGTTTTTTGTCTTGTTATATATGTTGCTAAACAAGTCATCGTGTATGACAACCACCATTACTGATACATACTGAGTTCGAGCGACCGTACCATGCAATCACTTATGAGTATGGACTTCCTGATTTACTGGTCAAGGGAGATATCTTGATTGTATCCTCATAATGAAATGTTGTTAAACATTAAATTAAGATCTAAATAAATAATATCCGATTATTCATTATACCCTGTATATACGTACATACATAATACATACATATATATTGTATATATGTATATATAAATGTATATATAAATGTAAATATGTATATATGTATGTATTTATAGGGTGTCCTGCAACTGATGTCTACAATGAAACATATTTGTATTCTTGAGATCATTCTAAAAATAAACATGATTTTGAAATTTTCAAGATTTTCTCCATCTATACATTTTTTGCGATATTCTAATGATACCCCCCTCATTCTTATTCAAAATTTATGGGGTTCAATTTTTATAAAATTTTTTTACATAAATAAATATATATATATATAATTTTGAAAAATAACAATTTCTGAAACATAAAGCAGTCACTTGCTTATTTTAAATAGTTATTAGTAATAGAAATATTATGGTAGTATTAAATAGTCGTTACAATAGTACAATAGTAGTAATAATAGTTATAAAGTTGCAGTAGTAACAAAAAAAAATGTTTCATGCCAAAGACGATCCATTCGTCTGCTAGTTGCTTTTAAAATATCTTCTCCCAAAATGATTTGCATGTGCGTTTTCGTTATTTAAAAAAAGGTATTTTATACCAGAGATGATATATTCGTCTGCTAGTTGCTTTTAAAAATATCTTCTCCCAGAACGATTTGCATGTGCGCTTTGGAAAAAGATATTTTATATCAGAGACGATATATTTGCCTGCTAATTGTTTCTAAAATATCTTCTCTCAAAACGATTTGCATGTGCGTTCTGGTTATTTAAACAAATATATTTACCAGAGACGATATATTTGTCTGCTAGTTGCTTCTAAAAATATCTTCTTTCAGAACAATTTGCATGTGCGTTCTGGTTATTTAAACAAAGATATTTTATTATCGATTTTAAAAAATCGGTGGAATTATTCTTAGATACGATGGATTCTAAAGTTAGTATTCAAAAAGTGTCACCTTTTCCTAAATAATAAAAAATTATCAAATCAATAGTTTTTTGGGTGCGCGTGTCTTAGTTCGATAATTAATGTTCTGCCAATATCGCGAATCGGGAGAGAATATCTTAGACGGAATAATTATTAGGTGTTATACAGTATATTGTCTTTTACTCCGTTTATTCGAGTCACACAAAGAATATAAACTCTTTACTCTCCACCGAGGAAAATCGTGTATCGCGAACGCGAGTCAAATTCTATCTGCCTTTCGAGGCCGCGCATTGTCTTGCTTCTCTCCATTTTTCCACGACCTTATTTTTATTTTTAGGTGATTAGCCTATCTATTATTTTGAAGAACTTTCGCTTTTTATTATGTTCGGAAATCGAAATCTACCTTCGTCATGTTAGTCACCTATTTGTTTATTTATTATTTTGTGTCCCCGGTCGCGATATTCTTAACACACGTCGCTTGTAATATATTTTTATTTCGTGTAAATTCTATTTTATATATATTTTAATATGCTTGTGGCATTTATCGCCACAGTACCCCCCTTCTAGTGGTTTTCTAATTTTCGACCGCGTGTTATTGCACAATTATTTTATCACCGCCTATTCGTCGATTCGAGTCGTTATTAGTCACCGCGTCAATGTATAATCTCGCGTGGAGAGATAAATAGGAAACAAAAACAATATAAATTAATAATAATATAAATTAAAATTTTGTCCGACACGCCGCGTTACATTATATATCGATCCGGAAATCGGACCCTTCGACCGCTCCTCGTTCGTGTCTCTCGTCTTTCACTCGCTGGCTGCGCCTTATTCGACTGCTCCGGGTCCAGTCTCATTTCTCTGTCTCCAGGAGTCCTTGCCGTCGGCGACGCTTTGTTAGCCTGTTTCTCTGAAATCAAATATGCTGGTTTTAAACGATCAATGGATATCGTTTGCTCTTTGCCGTGCATACGCACGACAAAGGTTTTTTCTCCGCGTCAAACCACCGTGTAGGGCCCATCGTATGGCATCTGCAATTGTGTTTTCGGCCCGTCGTGCCGAACAAACACACTCTCCGTGGTTCCCAGCTGTTTGTATACAAACGGGCGTCGTTCTCCGTGCTGCGTGATCTCGACCGGCCGGACCTCCTCGAAATGACGTCGCAACTCCTTCACGAAATTGCTGGCGTCTCTCTCCTCGCCGGGCTGCTTATTCAAGAATGTCCTGGCAGTCTGAGCGTTTCTCCATATACCAGCTCGGCCGCCGTCGCCTGCAGATCGTCCTTCCACGCCGCTCTTATGCCCATCAGAACTGTCGGCAGCACATCCGTCCACCAGTCCTTCTGATGGCACTTGATCAATGCTTTTAATTGGCGGTGCCATCGTTTCACCATGCCGTTGGCCTGGGGGTAATAGGCAGTCGTCCTCAGGTGGTTAGATCCTAGCAATCCGCTCAACTCCTTGAAGAGGTGCGCCTCGAATTGCTGTCCCTGGTCGGTTGTTATTCTCAACGGCACGCCGAATCTGCTTATCCAGCCGTGGTAGAATGTCCTTGCGACTGTCTCTGCCTCCTGGTTCTCCATGGGAAACGCCTCCGGCCAGCGCGTGAATCGATCGATGCAAGTCAAGCAATATTTATTTCCGTCTAATATCGGCATATTAATGATATCCACGTGCACATGCTCAAATCTCTGACTTGGTAGCTCGAAAATGCCTCTCGGTGATTTTACGTGGCGTGTAATTTTCGCTCGCTGGCACTCGATGCATGCACGTGCCCATGTACTACAGTCCTTTTTTATTGACGGCCAGACGTAACGCTGTGTCACCATCTTCACCGTCGCTCGTATCCCCGGGTGTGCCAGTCCGTGTAGCATATTGAATGCGGCCCTCCGAAAAGGCCTTGTCGAAAATGGTCTCGGAATCTTCGTCATTGTATCGCACCATATCGTAGTGCCTGCGCCTGGAATCTCTATTTTTTTTAATTTGAGTCGCCCTCGATGTACTCGTTGCACTCCGCATCGTCCTCCTGCGATCTCGCGAGTGCCTCGTAGTCCAGCGGTGTTTTTATCTCCTCTATGCGTGATAGCGTGTCCGCCACTACATTCTCTTCTCCTCTCACGTGTCGTACGTCTGTCGTAAATTGTCCGACAAAATCTAGATGCCGAAATTGTCGCGGCGTGCATTTTTCAGGCTTTCTCTGAAATGCATACGTGAGAGGTTTGTGGTCCGTATAAATTGCAAA